GAATATCCTAACTACAATGACAACCATAAACGGCTCGTTCAAGATGTTTATGTACGGGGCTGTCCACGGACCCAAGTATGGCTTCGCGATGACGGTACCGCGACCACCATCCCCAGGCTGATGGCTTGCCCGTAGTACACTAGCACTCTAATATTTCCCAGACGAGCGTTACCCAGAGGACCGTTTCAGTCCGTTTAATTTGGGCAAGGACTTGGAAGCAGTGGTCATCTTTTTGTGCCGTCTGCTTGCTCTGCCCACAAACCCAATAGCTTATCCAACAAAAATATCGGTAGTTCGGTAGATCGGTGAGGACCAAACCTTGCCTCAAGCCAAATGTAACGGATGCTGGCCATCATTAAAAAAAACAAAGAACTTACACACTGTGACGAATTCCTTGGCTTCAGCTGGACGCTTGCGGCGACCCTGAAAAAATTTTGCATATCCAGGCTGCGAATGGCCGCTACAATTTGAGTTTGCGCGTACGTAATGGGCCTGATTATTGTCTACGTCGTTTTGAGAATATTTCCAAATCGAATACGTAAGGAAACACGCCATGATTAGCCTGACTAACTCAGTGTATGAAGGAACTTTCAGAGCACTGCCGCTGGTTTTGTAGTTTTGGCCTTCGATGTCATGAACAAACGGTGTCTCCACAATCGCTGCGGCTGCTTTTGATGAAGTGGGACTCAGGGCTTGCAGTATCGCATCTTCCGTGGTTGTCGGGTTCACAAAGTGGTTTCCAGCGTTCAGGTCAGCGCTTATGGTTGATCTTTCAGTGGACTTCGCTGCTTCTTTCAACATATCTGACCATATCCAGCTTAAAACTTGTGAACCGTGTGTGGAGTCTACTGCTGTGCTTTATCGCCCGGTAAGGAAATAAGCGAGGATGATTCCATGTACTTTAGATTGTGCGTCCAAGCGAGGATCACATCAAAGGATCACATCCACTGGTAGACGAGGGTCCCGCGGCGGTTGGGTAGAAACAGCTGCCAGCTGCGGAGGCTTGCTTTCAAGTGTACAAGGGCATACAACTTTCACTCTAGAGTGGACATTTGGTTTCCTCTTCAAAACCGTCTTTTTTATTGTGGGGTACATGGCGACCCTAAAATACAATGTGCACAATGCATATAATATAATATAATATAATATAATATAATATAATAT